ATATGCATAGAATATGCTAATTTGATGACGTCATTTGTCAAAATCCAATATGGCGGACTATATTATTAGCTCTGACATCATATGACGTCATAATTACACCAAAGTTATTAAAATTTAATTCTATTACTACACCATTCTCTGAAAACTTGGTAGACATACGATGAGTGCATAAAAACATATAAAAACGGAAATAAGGTAATGTATAAGAACGCCAGTGTATCCATTACGATCGAAAGCCGGCTGGGGTCCGCGCGGACCCCAAAGAAAATCAGATATAATTTTTTTTTATAAATGGTAGAAACGGAGTTTTCTGCACTGTATTGAGAGACAACTTTGTGGGTGACAATTACCTAAAATTTCAGAAAAAAATCTTTAGAAACAAAAAAGATATTACAGAATATATAGTGCTGGGGTCCGCGCGGACCCCAGGTGTACTGTTTAGGGTTAAAGTTATATTCGCGTATTTTTGATGTCCCGTCTGTAGTTTTCAAATGATGTGTCAAATCTAAAGAGTCAGATGTTTTAAAAAATATATCGTCTGCAACGGACAATATTTTGATGCAACATACGTTGACCAATCATCGGACCCGACAGAAAACATCTTGTAGAATACATCTTAAGCATCAAATTTCTCTCTAATTATGCAAAAAAGCTACTGTTACTCTGTGGAAGGCCTTCGTTATAACTCAAAACTTCAATGATGAAAGTAAGCGATTTTAATATTGCGTATTTTGATGCTTTTTTGACAACAACAACAAGCAACAACAAAAAAACAACAACTTACAACAACTACAGTTCGTGCTTCAGTGTGTGGTTTAGCAAGTATGCTTAACCCAAGTATCCAGGCCAGTGCGTGCTTACCAATGTCTTCATAAAACGTCCCTGGATTTATCAAAAAAGTCCAGATTAGCCTAAATATCAACGCTTTTATCGAATCGGGGATATAGTTTATGTATGTCTTCGTAGTATATTTCTCACCACAAAATGTACTGAATTTCAAGAAATACAGAAAAGTTATATACTAGATCATACAATCCACTTTCATCCACCAAGCTTTATGTTTACCTGCATCTACTTCAACCATAAATAATTTCATGAGGTTGGTAAATAATTGAATATCAAACCAGTTCTTAAACAAGAGCAGACGTTTCGATGACCGTGGAAACATCGACTTCAGTCTACCAATATCTACGCATAAATCTACCATTCATCCCAAAGATGTCCACGTTCAAGCAAGTTCAAGCAACAGGGTTCAATATATTTGGATGGCGAGAAGATATCGTAACACTTAGGGTACATTGTCTATGCCATGGCAGCCCGAAAAAGTGCTCATATTTTATACAATTACTAGTATTTTGCAGATAGACTTACCCGATTGACTGTGGTGGAATTGTTGGAAGCTTGCTGTAGCTACCGCAGCCCATTTTTTTGCGTCCTGGCTTCGAGACTAACCGCCCACCGTTTTCAACAAAGTAGAATTGAAGTACATGCATGATAAGATAAATCTACGATGTTCGTCACGATGTAGTAATTCCATTGCTAAGAGGCTTAGTTGAAAAAAAATATATATAGCGTATAATCTATGATGATTAAGACTTGACAATAGGTGTTGGCCTCAGGGAAATATTGTAATTTTCGTTTTTTGGCGACGTCTCAGGGAGGAGCCTAATGGTACAGTATTGTGTGCAGTTTGCAAGAATTCTAGGAATGGTACAGGATCAGGCATTTTGTCCACAGGAATGGAATGTCCACAGGCATGTCTATGACCCACATCTATCCCCACATTCCTGGAAACCCTTAGGAAGACCTGTCTGCCCCGGATGGCCCTACTTTCTGTGACCCCGGGGCTCGTTCACTCAGGAGAGGAGTGCACTGTATCTGTCTAGACTTACAGGTACCAAGTCTTCCTCAAAATCATGAAATCATGGCAGTGCCATGCAGACAGTAACCCTAACAGCAACCACCGTCGCCATGGCAATGTATGTTTTCATTGCCAGTCTTGTTTACACAGTTAGATATAGAACACAAGTTGAGGGAATTGCGCCACTGTACATCGGAACAACAATAGAGCAATTAGACATTGTACAATTAAGCTTTATTTACCAGCATCTACTTCAATTAGACATGTAAAAATATGTTGTCCACGTTAATTTTTATCTTGCCTCTTTGCTTGCCTTCGCTGATTTAAATAAAAAGAAACGATCGGCATAATTATACGGCGTGTGCCACGGGATAAGAAAGAAAACCAAAATGTTCTGATCTTGGTGATGATTGTGTCTTCTGGATATCTGCCTGTTGTTCGGTGACTATCCACTAGGTGGCGCTTTGAGTCGGTGCTGTCCTTGGTGCTGTCCTTGGTGCTGATGGTGTCATCAGGATATATATTTGTCCTTCTAATTAACAGTATTGAAAAGTATCACATAATGCTATAATCTAGATGCCTGCAATACTACTTTTGACTACTGCTGAACTTATTGACAGTGAAAAAAATCACAAATGATGATTAAAAATTTAATTTATTGGTGTTTTTGTGACTTTTTTCTACCTATCTACATGTATACGTTTTGATGCACAACTGTTGAACTATTACATACAGGCTGACATCTTTAGTATACTTCTTGTAGCTTGTATGTCACATAAATTGTACAGCTTTTTTTTTTTTTTAACGGTGTCGCTCAATGCAAGGCCAATTATTTTGGGCCACTTCTAGGCATAGAGCTAGAGGTACTAAAGTGAGTATAATGTAGTTATGTCAGGAGATGGCGGTGGACCTTTGTTTTGAAGCTTTGTGGATTGTAGTCTGATGGAAAGCAGCTGTTTGGAAGAGAGTTCCATAATTTTGCAGTCCGGGGAAAGAAGCTGTTGTTGTAAAATGAGACAGGTATGTTAACGGTGTATTGATGAGAACTGGAAGAGAACCTAGTGGCACGCTGAAAGGTTCTGAGCGACGGAACAAGAAGTGCAAGTTCTCCTGAACATCGACCGTGAAAGTATCTGTAAAAGCGGGATAGAGATGCGACATTGCGTCTGTGTGAGAGGGAATCCAGCTTTGCGGCTGTGTATTACATGTACATGTATGTCTTGTTCAAGTTGTTGAACATGGTGAAGTATGGCAAAATTAAAATTAAACACATTGAAATTGAGACAAAATGTCAATAAACAGTCTTTATTTCCACAAAGAGCGTTGTAATGTATTCATGTTCATCTAAAGATACAACAGATATTTTTTTCTACAACTTTTCATACAGATATATCATCACCAAAATATACACACATACACACCCTTCAATATATTAGATTATCGGATACCAGAATAGACAAATTATTTACACTTTCAAATTTTTATAGGCACTTTATATCATAGTATGTTGAATGTACATTGTTTGCTACTATAGTATTTATAATCAGAGGTCTGCAAGCACAAGTCAGATGTACAATGTAGTTTCCACATAGAAAAGCTCAAGCTGCAGTAATGATATGCATCAGGAAAGCCAGTTACCATGGTAACCACTGGTAGGGTTGTGTTGTCATGGCAACCACTCTACTTTGGGTGGTGTTGCCATGGCAACCACTCTACTTTGGGTATTGTTGCCATGGCAACCACTCTACTTTGGGTGGTGTTGCCATGGCAACCACTCTACTTTGGGAGATGTTGCCATGGCTACCACTCTATTTTAGGTGGTGTTACCATGGCAACCACTGTACTTTGGGTGGTGTTGCCATGGCAACCACTCTACTTTGGGTGGTGTTGCCATGGCAACAGCTCTACTTTGGTGTGGGTTGCCATGGTGACCCTTACAGTTTGTTGTGTTACCATGGTAACCATTCTAGTTCACAGTTGTTGCCATGGTAACCACTCACTGTTGTTGGTTGCTATGGCAACAAAACCTGCTCATTGCTGGACCCTATCTCTCAATACAAAATGTAGTAGGAGAGATGTAGGGACATCTATAGATATGTATATTACCTGAATATGATATGTTTAAAATCCTCCATAGACTGGTTTCTAGTTGGCTGCATTTGAAAGATGCTTGCTAAGTAAGCATTTCTTCAAAAATCGCAAGCTGATTGTCAATTCTATCTCTAATGCAACAACAGCAATGCTGAAGAATAGATGTTTTACCTAATCTCTACCAAAACAATGAGCCACGTAAAACAACAACAATCTAACTAGAATATTAAGAAACAATGCCCAAATATTTGGGGTACAGTTTTTGGCAACACCAAAGGGGTGGAGCCATTTGGACGTGACCTTTTGCATGTTGGTCCAACCTAGTCAGTCCACAGTACTGTACAACTGCAAAGTAGTCAACAACAGTACTGTGTTTAAGTTTTCCTACATTCTATTGAGAACCCCCACCCCTCAATTTCAAAAACCCTGTAATAGTATATTATAGGATTACATGTATTTTTCATATGTTAAATTATCCATAAAACACAAATATCACTACAAACAAGTCCTAAACTCTAGCTTAAATGGACGAAACAAGTTTCCAACAAAGTCCTTATACAAATACAAAGTCTTGAAGTGCAACAGACTAAAAGAAAGCTTATACATGTTTTTAGATATCTTGCATTTTTAAGTACACAAAACTTGTCCAGATTGTTCCGAATGATACATATCAAGAGTTATGATGAATTATTTACAATCGCATGCCACCTTTTCAAAAATATACAGATCACAACAATTTTCAAAGGCACATAGATGCATAGCTCTAGTTGACATAGATATACTATCATCAAGCTTTAAGGCGTCTTTACAACAATTTTAGCAGCAGAACAAGTATTTTAAGGAAACTCTTTGGGCATTTTTTTTTTATCTCAGGAACTTTCTAAAAACTGTTAACTCTCTTATTTTCTAAGATTGTCGTTGTGCATTTTTTTTATATGAGATTGCAGAAGAGGTAGCTCACAGAAAAATCATTGAATTGTAGACAAATGCTGAAATCTGAATGAAAACTGTTGACACCCCTGTATATGCCCCCCTCCCCCTAATGTTTACATGCTCATTACATAATAAATAAGTTTCCTCAAAAAGACATTATTTAAGATATTAGAAATAATACTGTATAATCTCAAAGCAAGTGTAAATTGCAAACGAAAACTATTTGGATATAATCTAGATTCTAAATCTGCATGTTACCACTTTCCAAATTCTTAAAAAGAACCTCTAGAGAGTAACTTTTTTCAAGAATTATTAAATGATTACATGGTTTGGAAGACAAGCAGTACATGTATATATGGTACCTGCCTTTTCTTCTTCAAAAAAGCAAAAGGAATGAAATATTGGCTTTCAGTTTAAAAAGAGTAACAGAATTTTGCTGTGCATAGATGTTAACCATTACATATCTATGAATCTAGTTGGTAGTGATGCTATGATAAAAATTGGATACTACTGGCTAAAAACATTACTGTGGTGCATAGCAGCCATTTTGGTAATATAAATGTATGCTAGGTATGCTAGCTCGGATATAATCAAAATGGCATTCAGCTAGGCAGTTGAAAGCATTGTGTTATACATTTGATTATTATCAAGTGATAAGAGTGTTATCTAATATCAATAATTTAGAAAATATTTGTAAATATCAAAGAGACTGTGTAACGACTGTAAATTATAGCTTGTTTAATCTTCTTCTGCTACGTTCTATGGTTTTCAATGTGCAACTTGGTGCAATGAGAATTTAGGCTTGCTAAAAAATAGTGGGAGGATGTTGGTAATGATAGCCCTAAATTTACATTTTTTGAAAGGCATTGTGGTGACAGTTCCAAAATACAAAAAGGCTTTGGAAAATCAAACTCAAACACCATTTTCATTTCTAGTATCATATTATGACAGTTATCTATAATATTATACTAGACGTTCCATTGTACTGGAAAGTATTTCTGAATCTTAAACCATACATATAAGTATGATATCTGAAGAATGGAATAGTGGGATATCTGAAGAATGGAATTGTGGGATATCTGAAGAATGGAATTCTGGGATATCTAAAGAATGGAATTCTGGGATACATAGCTGTTAGGATTCTGGGATACCTCTAGGGTTTTTCTAGCAAAATTTTCAGAAAAATTAAGCAGCTCTTTTCATGCCTAGATAGTTTTCAAGAAATGTGATATCTAAAAAAAAGCCCTTGATTAATATAACCTGAATTAAACTGTATATGAAAATTACAGGGAAGATATTGAAAATTCCTGAGGATGTTATAAGCAAATAATCAAGCAGCATCATATATTAATATTTTCTGTACTGCATAGTTGAAGGATAATTAATATAGCTCTGTATTCATGCATATTTGTCAGGGTAGAGACTTAGATCTGGTAAAATCTGCGCGATCCCAAATGTGCTGGCTTGTCGTAAAAGTTGGTACATGTATGCACTACCGTAAATTCACAATATCAGCTTTGTATTCCTGTGGTTTAGCAGCATTTTCTTTTTGGCTGTAATTTTTTTTTCACCCGCTTGCATTAGTTTTGGGGTTTTCAGAGGATGTGATCCCTAAAATTAAGTCAGTGTGGCCTTAGGGTAGCTTTTCATTTACAAATCATGAATTTCAACTAAATCCAATGATTAAAAGTTGAAAAGATCTGTCTTTTAAACGGATATCTTAAAATTAACAGACTGCAATCAGAATTTTTGATTCTACCAAATCAGAGTCTCTACCCTGAAAAATAAAATGATTGACAAAGAATCCTATTTTTGTACTGGCTTCACAAATTGTCCTTTTACATAATAAGAGTGGCACAGGTAAAATATCATGCACAAAGTAAGACAAGATTTAACTATATTTGGTTTCAAAGAACCCCTGTTTTGAGACCAGATAATTTACAAATTATCAGACTTCTAAGCTCTGAATAAATATATAATTTTTAGTTTGGAAAATTTGATAGTAGTCTTTTTAGAAGTTAGCTTAAGTTGCAAAGTACCCAAATAGATGTAGCTAAAAGTACATGGAATAGCTGAAAGATAATACTGTGATTTTTGAAACTTTTCTGAATATATTATTGAAACTGAAGCCACAGAAATGTAAATTTTTGTCTTGGTCATAAAACGTCATTATGATAAACTGCAATAACTCATGAAATGTGTTGACAACTGCTGAATGCTAAAAAATACTAGCAATTTTGTTGAAATTTTCTTTCTTATTGAATATATATAATCCGTACCAAGAAACAATAAATTTCTTCAGCATGGCCTTTGAAAACATGCATTCAAGCACTTCAAAACTACACAAAGTGGTTTCAAGACCCAAATTTATAATCTCTAATGCATCTGTGGCTACCTGTTCATTGTTTAAGTAGAGACCCCCTCAACCTAATTATCATATTATTCCCCCAAAGTTATCCATTGACTGGTGCACAGCACATTCTCCATCATACGTTACTCTAAAAGCTGACCAATGACAGCATTGCTGGTCGAAAGGTTAGAATATTATTTAATTTATAATCTCTAATGCATCTGTGGCTACCTCTGTTCATTGTTTAAGTAGAGACCCCCTCAAACTGATTATCATATTCACCCCAAAAGTTTTCCACTGACTGATGCGCTCATCATTCGTTACTCTCAAAGCAGACGAATGATAGCATTGCTCTGGTCAGAAGGTTAGAACCTTTAAATTAATGCATCTGTGGCTACCTCTGTTCATTGTTTAAGTAGAGACCCCCTCAAACTGATTATCATATTTCCCCCAAAGTTTTCCCTTGACTGGTGCACTCATCATACGTTACTCTCAAAGCTGACGAATGACAACATGCTCTGGTCAGAAGGTAAGAATCTCTAAATTAATGCATCTGTGGCTACCTCTGTTCATTGTTTAAGTAGAGACCCCCTCAAACTGATTATCATATTCACCCCAAAAGTTTTGCACTGACTGGTGCACTCATCATACGTTACTCTCAAAGCTGACGAATGACAACATGCTCTGGTCGGAAGGCAACATGGAGTCCATCGACAGGGGCGAGGTGAGCCTTCGCGGACGGGGGCCGAACGTGATGTCGTAGTGGTCGTGGTTGCCATAGTGATTGTCGTGGTGCCAGCTGTTGCGGCGGGACCCGGCCCTGGACCCGTGGTGCTGCATGTAGTCCGAGTCCAGCGACTCCACGGAATGCACGATACCCGCCATGTACGACCTCAAACCTGTCACAGCAAAAGTAACCATCAAACTCTTCATTGATCAGAGATTGTGTCCGACATGCAAGGAGGGTATTGAAGACTAATTCCACTTTATGATGTCATGTCCAACATATGAAGAAAACAGACAAAAGTTGATGCAATCCATAGCTTCCAAAACTAAAATGCTACCTGACTCAAAATCAGATATCTTTAATATGCTCCTTTCATGTCCTACTCAGATATCAGTGTACGTTGGAAAATTCATATTTGAATCACTACAAAAGTGACACCATATTGTAAATAGCTGATATATCCCCTGAATTACAGAATGTAATAACACTCTTCCTAAGATAACACAATAGATTAGCTTTAGTATTATTATGGACTAGCTGGTTAGAATTATATTTTAGTATTAGTTTGTGTATGTACCATTGTTGTTTCTTTGCCATACATTGTACCAGCTACAGTTGTTGAGCAATAAAGTTGATTTGATTTTGACAAATGATTAATTGCCTGAAAACGTACTGTAAATTCATTCAGTTTTGCCGTGGCTTTATTTTGAGGGAATGTTAGGTTTTCACTGGTTTTAAATTTGCTGTGGGATCAATTTGGTAGCACTGTAGTCAATACACACATTTGCGGTGAAGAGGTCACCTCAAAACTAGAAATATTTTAATCAATGTGAAAGATTTAAGACTTACTGTGTACAGTAACAGTAATTTAAAAAAAAAATTGATGGTTGGTTTTAAATTAGTAAGATACAAATTTCAGAAACTAAAGGTTCATAAATGATTCATTTGACATTGTGGATAGACCTTGGCTGAAGAAACAAGCAAATATTTCAAAAGGCTCAGATATACTAATAATACTATTCCTACTGAGGTGTAATGTACAGTTAATATTATTAAGTTACCAGTGAGAGGCCCAAGAAGGTAGATAAGCAGGAACCAGAAGAATTTGAGAAAGGAAGAGAAGACAGACCAGCTATCAGGAAACTGTAGAGACAGCAGAGAAAGACAGAGGTGAAAGAACTCCATCTAGTGACAAACCAAGGAAGTGCATGCTAGGAAAGAGATGTGAAAATATTTGCTTGAACCAATTTTTTTAAGAATTAAAAAAGCAAAGGGTTACTGCAACTATTGTTAAACACTTAAAGATTTACAGTAAACAATTTGTTAATTTTTCTATTCATCAATCTTAAATGTTAAATTCTTTTTTCCCTCTATTTTCGCAATCCTTTCCCTGATAACCTTTTTGATCTGTTCTAGAATCATCAGAAAAGAGTTGCTGAAAGTTTAAACAAAAATATTTACAATGCACTACAAGTAACCAAGTAACTATTGAAAAACATCTAAAAACCTTAATATAGAAAGTTTCTTGTTTCATCGATTGCAGAAAAAAAATTATTCCTCTACAAATGTTCAAATGGACCAACCCACAGATAAACCTGTGTTAAAAAGACTTAAATGGACCAGACCATACAAAAAATGGGGGTGTAAAAGTCTCTCTCACCTGCTACATTGCGGTGTTCCACGTGACCGGATATTGTAGAGATGTTGTCGTCAGGAATTTGGTGATCGGCGATTTCGTCAGAGTCTTCTTGTTTTGGTCTGAAGAAGACCCAGGCTGTGAGGAAGAAGAGGAAGCCTATCCCCTTCAACCCTGCACACAGGCCGATGTAGTAATGTCTGTATCTGGAACAAACAGGAAAAATTATCAGTAAACTAGAGATTGAAGTAACATTTGCAAAGCAAATGCATAATGTTTACCTTCGGACATGGTCTGCTCTGTTAATTCTTACTCACACATTCACATACATGTACTACTAGTATATGGTGACAGGAGCAGAGCAGACCATGAAATTGCAACATTATGTAATCCAACACCAGTCACCATGGTGACCAACAAATCATTTCATTGGTCAGGTCATAGGTCACTGTTTGGAGAAGAAGAAGAAGAGGAAGAAACACACCTTCACACATGGTCTGCTCTGTTAATTCTTACTCAAAAACATTCATATATTATATGGTTAAACAGGAGTCTAAATCCCTCCTGCTATAAAATTGCAACATGTAACCCAACACTAGTTACCATGGTGACAGACCTCTGGTTCAGGTCATTGACCTTATTGGTTTGGAGAAGAAGAAGAAGAGGAAACAGAGCAAAAACAGTTTGCGTACTTGATGTTGTCGTACACGTAGCAGAGCCCTCGGCTGTCACACTCTGTCTGCCACAGGAGACACGTGGAGTCGATGACGCGCCCGTAGTAGATCGGAGCGGGGAGGTAACCCAGCGCTCGCAGGAACACAATCTGCAGGCCCAACGCAAACGGCTTGTCCTCCTCACTTACAGACCTGTGGTAAAGAAAATAACAACAACTAAGATAAATGCATAATGTTTACCTTCTCATATGGTCTGCTCTGTTAATTCGTACTCAAACACATTCATATTATATATAGTGACAGGAGTTTAAATCATTCCTAGTCCTACTATAAAATTGCAACATGATGTAACCCGACACTAGTTACCATGGTGACAGACATCTGGTTAAGGTCATTGGCATTATTAGTTTGGAGAAGAAGAAGAAGAAACAGAGCAAAAACAATGTTTTCCTTCGGTACCTAACTTAAAGGTAATGTTTGTAAAGCAAATGCAAAATGTCAAACTCAAATTCCCATTTAGTTAGAAATCATCATAGTTAAAATCCTGGTACAGAACTATTTGTTTACTGTTTATTATTTACTGGTGGTAACCATGGAGATTGTTTACTGACCTGATGGTGACCATGAGAGCGGGGACCTGTGATGTTGTAGAGATGAGAACGATGATGAAGAGGAGAAGCATGAAGACTGGCAGCATGTTACAGTCAGAACTGCACTTCCCTGACGTGATGTGTCCATGTGGGCCTCCTGCACTCCCACTCAAACAGCTACACTCTGTGTAATTCTGAAAAAATACGCAAAATACAAATGCTATTTATAATTATCAATAAGTAAGTAATGTCAGGGAAACAGAGAGGTCTCTAAAAGCCAGGTTTCAAGAACATACACGGCCTAGCTCTGCCAGTTCAGAGGTGTCTCAACACATCCACATAGAGTCATCCGGACATTTTGTTTCACTTGACAGTGGATTTTAGACACTGAACAAGACTATTTCTTGAGAGGGGTGAAGGAAGCCATTTACATCAGGGCCCATCACCCTACATTGAACCGCGACGGGGGCCGACATCGTCTACCGGATACCTTTGACCCAGTGTTGACGTCACACTTCAAACAAGCCACGTGACAAGCTTCACTGGGTCAGTCTACTGAGGAAGACCAGAGTGACTGGTCGAAAGCTCTAGGTGAGAGAATTTTTTGTGTTGGACCAAAAGTTTTAACTTTAAACATGTAACTACCAACACAGATGAACTTTCATGACAAGTAAGTAATGTCATTGTGTAATAACACTTTCAGAATGCTTTTTCAGCACCAAGGACGGGCAAAGTTTAAAAAACCTTTTCTTTAATCCTTAAAATGCAGTAAAAACTAAATGTAAACATGTAGTGCTGCTTTTAGCATGTTATTTCAGCACCAAGGACAGGCATAATTTAAAAAAAATCCTAAATGCAGTCAAAACTACAGTTACAAAATGCAGTATTACTGTCACTGCTATTGTGCACACTACTGGAACTCTTTTCAGCACTAAGGACAGACATAGTTTTGAAATAAGTCTTATCCTTAAAAAAATTATCCTTCTTCCCGTAGGTTTGGAATCTCAGATTTCTTTCCATTATTTATAATAATACAGACTGTAATTCACTTTATGTTCATGGTAGCAAAAGTTCACGGTCTGAGAAAATTGGACATGTTCACGGAACTATATATTCACTGTGCAGGAAAAAGAAAGTCCAGCAACTATTTGTTAACTGTAATGATAAGTTCAAGGTACAGAAGTGACAGTGAAAACATAACTGTGAAAAAATCAGGAATTATATAATGAATTGATACCTACATTGACTTTGGTCCCAGGAATCAGACTTTTTTGTGTACAGCCGGCTTGACAGGGTGAAAAATACGTCAGCTGGTCAGGCTGGTAACAGACAGGAGCGAACCCCTCAAACGTGCAGCCACAGTTCAGGTTACAACTGGAGGTGAGATTCACGTCCACTAAAGAACTGTGAAAACAACAGAAAGAAACAATGTATTGTTATTATTACAGTCTTCATCTGTATCTGTATAGCCGGTATAACTGCCCTTTGACGTAACACACCAGCTTCTGTATCTGTATAGCCGATATAACCGCACTTCGACGTAACACACCAGCTTCACATGCATGTAGCACGGCAGCAGCTGGATACATTACACCGATCGACTTGTTACACCTAACCCTTGAACATCTAACTCAAAACATTGTTTAAATCTATCTAATGATAATACCCCTACTTTTTTTGGTGACAGCGAATTCCACTCTGCGATAGTTCTAGGGAAGAATGAGTTTTTGAACACCTCAATCCTTGGTTGATAACTCTGGTACTTGAAGACATGGCTATTTCTCGTTCTTTTCTGGGCTGGTATTAGGTACTTAGTAGTTGGGACATCCACCAGTTTATTAGTCATCATGCATAGTCTGAACATCTTTCTTCTGTCTTCCAGTGAGGCCCATAGGTTTCTTTTCATTTCCGTTCTGTATCAAAATGCTTGTAATCGCACATTTCACCATGCTTTGGCATTTGTGAGTTTGGTTGGCGTATTTTGGTATTGTTGCAATTCTAGTCAAGTGGTTGCCAAGGGGGCTTTTTGAAAAGTTGTCTTGACTTGTTGTTTTTAGAGTGAATACATGTTCCCAGTGGTTTTAAAAGTCTTTCAGCAATTCTGGAGTGGCTGTACTCTTGAACTGTTACAAAATAAACAAGGTCAAGGACAGATTTGGGGGAGGGGGGCTTCAAACTTTGGACAAAATATATTGTTAAAGCCCCAAATGCTACAATAGGAGTGATGAAGTCAACACAAAAGGTTGGGTTAATATTCAAACAATGAATTTTGAACTTTTAATCAAACCAATGCATTGATAGATGGACAAACTGTAACAACAAGGAAGAAAATGACATTCCTCAACTGTTGGGGGCAAAATATGAGCATTTTTTAGTTGATTCAGAACTAGTGATGCATACCGGTTCACTGGACTTGAATCCGGACTTGTAAGAATGTTTAGGTTCAAGTCCAAAAAAAAAACTAAAAGTCAAGAACCGAGTCTGGACTTATTACCATAAAACTTAAAGACCATTTCACATACCCCTTTTCTTTCCAAACCACCTAAAACCTTCCATAGATTGCAAAATCTGTGCTGCAAAATGAAGAAAACATTGCCATCGGGCATCGTCAAGTGTCAGTCTCCATGTTATGTGGCCAAAGTTTCACCCAGACAACATTGCAAGGTTGCCAACATGCAATTTTGTACTAAGTATATGCCATGGGTTTAGGTTCAGACTTACAAGTCCGGAACTGAACCTAAACCTAGGTATGCAGCACTATTCAGAACCAGGATCTTTTTTTTTGCAAATCAGAAAAAAAAAGACTGAGGTGAATCCGAGAATCAACAAATTAAATTGGTGTGGCCTCAGGTAAAAAAAAACCTTGTACCTACCTGTCTGAGTAGAAAGGCACAGTGATGCCGGGAATGCTGGGATTGCCACATCCCACTGGGAACAGGGTGAGGATGAGGAGCAGGGAGATGAAGTTACAGAGCAGGGTGAGCGCTGCGGCCGCCTTGGGCTGGATGTTAAACCTCTTCATGAGGAACCCGCCTCCGAAGATCCCGATAAACGCCGCAGGAACAGCCACAACACCTGGAAACAGAAAAAATTGTTAAATCTGTCACAATGTTCTCACCAGGATTTTTTCACAGCATAGGGGTCAGGTACAGAAGGGCAACTTTTGTGGCGCAAGTCGCGTATTGAGCCTAAAAATTTTGAAACTCATATCCCCCTGAGACACTATTTCTCACTTATTGGGGGACAGATTTTGTAAAGTTAAGGTTTTCCCTTTACTATGGCTTCAATCTAAAGTTATATTTTCATTTTTTTGCAAGATTTATAAAGGTTCCCCCCCAAAAAACACCCTTATATGCTGCTTAAAAGACAGCATAGGGGTCCAAATCACAGCATAGGGGGTCCAAATCACAGCATAGGGGGTCCAAATCACAGCATAGGGGGTCCAAATCACAGCATAGGGGGTCCAAATCACAGCATAGGGGGTCCAAATCACAGCATAGGGGGTCCAAATCACAGCATAGGGGGTCCAAATCACAGCATAGGGGGTCCAAATCACAGCATAGGGGGTCCAAATCACAGCATAGGGGGCCCAAATGATGATGCTCAAAAGGCCTGGTGTGAACACTTATCTATACTCTAAATTCATTTCAGGGATTGGTGCCTGAACTACTTTTGACTACAGGGGTCGCTTTTACATTGTATCATGTTATGCAATCATAACTTCATTATATAGATACATGTAATACTAAACCTCTTTGTACTATGTAACTCTTTTCATGTAAGAAACTTTTAAAATAGACTTTGCGTGTAGCTTAGGTAGACCCATAGCCTTTTTTGAGGCAATGCCCATCACTCTCTTTTTACCGCCTTTCACCAACTGAAGTCAGGTACCTACATGTATTTTACACCTGGGTGGAGTGAGGAAAGTACCTTTCCCAAGGCACAAGATTGCTTAAAAGGTGACATGACGGGATTCGAACCACGGACCTCCGGGTTCTGGGCCAAAGTCCCTGCCATTACACCACACAACCCCACAATGCTTTACATACCGGGGTATATCTATCCCCAAATCGGAAGTGAAAAGCATGGAAATCTTATATGTTTATAGTCTTCTCTAACTTGTAATAAAAGATTTACATATTGCATATTGCTTTCCTTTGCATGTACATTAAAAAAAATGATTTAGGTGATACTTATTAAAAAATTGGCAAAGATCAAAATGTACTGCCATGAATTGTATATAAGGCCATGTTGATTTGATTATATGGATGACATCCTCCGGGAGCCCAAAAACTGATGCGCGCGTGCGAATAAAAAAAAGTTTTGCCAAAAAAAAAGTTATTTTCATTATGAAATCTACGTGGTCATGAGGGTTGAGCAAATGGCACAGAATATGGTTTGGCGAATAATCTAGTCTTCAAGTTCATTTCTTTACAATTTCGTCTTTTTTCGTTCGATTTGGCATTCTACGACATTGGTATAGTTTTTATTAATTTTTTTGTAACTTATGGTATATTTTTGCTCATTTTGCAACTGTTTTGTACGATTTACAGTATGGTTGAAAACTTTTTTTTTTTTGGAAACGGCCGAAAATTTATGCGCGCGCGGATGTCATCCATATAATCAAATCAACATGGCCTAAATATTGTCATAAATAAAAGAAAGGCTTACCAGTTAAAATGTTGGCACTGGAGGCCGTTTTCTCGTACTGCAGCTCGATGAACTTGGAGAGGAAGGTGAGAAAGCCGCTGACGATGGAGACCTCCATGGCACAGGCGACAGAGATGGTGACGAAGGTGACGTTAGTGACCAGTCTCCATACTGCACGGGGCAGACCTGGGGGGGAGGGGGGCAGGGACATGAACTTGAATATATATACAGTGACACAGTACTGTGATATATGAGTAACAGTAATTTAATAGTAGTCATAGTGTAGTAGTAGTATTTTAGTTAGTACAGTCAAACCTGCCAAGGAGACCACCTCTTCAAACTTGCAACCTGTCCATGGTGACCAATTTTTCTCGGTCCCAAAAATTTTCCCCATTGACACAAGCATTAAGCAACCTGTTCAAGGTGACCACCTGGGTAATGCAACCATGACCGCTGTGAGTTGGGTCTGCCGAAGGCCCGATACCTCAATCACGTCATTTTGGATCGTGTTGATTATTGATGACAACTATCAAATGAGAAATCATGGAGAAACCAGCCAGTTTTCCTCGACTGCTGGACAATATTTTTGCTGGTTTTTTGTTTGACGTAAATTGTTCCATGTGTCACCCTCCGAACATGCATATGCATTCACCACAGAAGTGAAGATGCTTACAGCATTTGTCATTACAACATCTCGACGGAAACCATTTATGTCTCAGTCATGTTGTGAGGCGACCCTCTTCAAGGAGACCACCTGTCCAATGTGGCCACTTTTCTTTGGTCCCCTGGATGGCCGCCTTAGGCAGGTTTGACTTTAGTAGTCAGGTAATTGGAACAAATCAGCCTTGCAGCAAAAACTGAATTGCGCCAATATTTACCATCAAATTTAAATGAATCTTTGTCAAAATTGTCATCTTTCAGCTACTATTTACCTATCTTTTAAATTAGTGTAAAATAAATGGTTCCACTAGTGTTTTATAGGTACAGGTACAGGTACCACAAATGTTCTAGGCCTAGATCTGGACCTGTACCTAAACAATTTTTACTGCTTAGCGGCCTAAACTACATAACAGCCACCTAATATATATAGCAGCACATGCAGTCCAAACTACTGCATTCCTACTTTTTGTTCAAGCCCTACATTGTATACAAACCAGCAAACCAACCATATCACAGCACTTTCTTCCATTTCAAATGTCACATTCCAGGCCTATTTTCAGACACCTAACCATCATTTGAACTACTGTATTTTTTCACTGATATGTTCACTGTTTTCTCTGTCCCTTCTGTACCGTGAACTTATCATTACAGTTAACAAATAATTCCTGGACTTTCTTTTTCCTGCACCTGTTGCCACAGTGAACATATATAGTTCCGTGAACATGTCCATTTTTTCTCCGACCGTGAACTTTTGCTACCGTGAACATAAAGTGAATAACAGTATAATTGTTATTGTAAAGAGAGACCTTTTCTGTTTTGTTTCAGTGGATGGATTTGAAATGTAGAATTCACAACTACTGTTCCATGCAAATTCCAGGTACTTTGGTTTTCTTCGGAACTTAGCATTCTACTGACCATCTGTATTCAGTATAGCCGGTATAACCGCCCTTCGGCGTAACACACCAGCTTCGCAGGCACGCGGTGCGGCGGCAGCTAGCTATATCACACCGAACAACTTGTTACACTCAATCTTTGCACATTTCAGGAGTTGTTTAAATCTTTCTAGTGATGATGCCCCAACTGTGCTTGGTGGCAACGAGTTCCAGTCTACGATAGTTCTGGGGAAATACGAGTTTTTCGGAACACCTCAATTCTTGGTACTTGATAACACTGATATTTGAAGGCATGACTGTTTCTTGTTCTTTTCTGGGCTGGTATCAGATACTTTTAAAAGTGGTTGGTACATCCACCAGTTTATTAGTCATTTTGTACATCATGCACAGTCTGGACATTCTACATCTGTCTTCCAGCGACCCCCACTGTAGGTTTCTTTTAATTTCCGTTACACTAGCAGATACAACACCATGATACAAGTACATGTAGCTACTGTTGATACAAAAAGGCATTTGACAATGTTTGCCATGTCCTGTATATTTAGTAAGTCAAATTTGACATTTCAATTTCTCTACTTGATAGAGTGGAAGAGTACTGTTTATACTGTGTTTTAATAAATCCCACGTTTTGATTAAAAAGATTTATCAAACTAAGGCCACACCAATTTCATTTCTTGGTTAACGGATTCGCCCGCTTCATTTTTTTCCGATTTATAAAAAAAAAAATTCAACTGCAAAATGCTCATATTTTGCCCTGAACAGTTGAAAACAGTCCTTTTCTTCCTAGTTGTTACAGTTATTCCTTCTTTCAATGGAATGGTATCATTAAAAGTTCAAAATTCATGGTGTGTTGACTTTATGGCTCCTATCGTACCATTTTGGGCCATAATATTAATAGGATGCCTAGGCCTGTTTTTATTTACTTATTTTTTTACACCCACCCGCTCCATTATTTTTCTAGAAAAATCTGTTAACCAAGAAATTACATTGGTGTTGCCTAAGAGAGATTTTAATAACTGATAGCCAAAAACACATTGCTGAAATTCTAATCATTACTATGAATGAAAGATTTATAAAATTATTATGAAGGGAGAGGGAAATATTCAATCACTGCATCAAACAGCTATATAAAGGGAGTCATAGTAGTAAGAAAATAAGTAGTATAGGAGGTGCTCTCAGAACACTGTACCTTTGGAGGCTGACAGCTAAAAGGAGCACCATGAAGAACAGAGAAAGCTGAAGTCTGTAGATTAAAGAAAATTATTGGTCACAGAGAGGAGGTAAAAATCAACAAGAGTTAAAAAGGCAGAGATATCTAAGTAGCATAGATAGAGTTCTTTCTTGTAGAATTTCAAAGATTTTTCAGCTACTTTTTAAAACCTGTTCTGGAAAAATGGGGGATACATTATGATTTTATTTTTTTGTTTTTTTATATTCTTAATTTCTTTTAATATCACTAGTGCTTTTAATATAAGGCCACGCCAATTTTATTTGTTGCTTCTCAGATCGCCCTGTCCATTTTGTTCTGATTTGCACAAAAAAGAATTTGGTTCTAAATTAACTGCAAAATGCTCATTAAAAGACATATTTTAGCCCCAACGGTTGAAGAAAGTCCAATGTTCAATGTAAAAATGCAATTTTGTTTCATGAAAAGTTCAAAATCAATTGTTTTAATTATAAACCAGCCTGGTATGTTCACTTTATGGCTCATATTGTAACATTTCCGGCTATCATGGGGTGCCTTGGCCTGTTTTTTTTAATTTTTATTTCGCCCTGTCGCTTCATATTTTTTCTGAAAAAATCTGAGAAACAACAAATTAAATTGGTATGGCCTACTTAGTGCAAAGCCACATGTTTGAATAAGAAAGTTAATATGCTTTTAATATTTGTCAAAATTACTTTGCAGAACTAGTTATCCTCAAGAAGTGTTTTCCTGTGTTTAATTAACGTTTTACTCAAATCAAACTTGTCAAATTTAACAAAATATGACATGATTCAGTAGGCATGGAAAATGGCATTTTCTACCGTAAAGGAGAAATGGCATAATTTTTTTCATTTTTCGGGTACAAACTTTAAAAGCGATTTGAAGCAGCCATACTTCTAAGCAGCCATGCATCTTTGCACAGATAAGAGTTTACATTAAATTATGAAGCTCAGACTTTTTTTCACAATCATAATAACTTTAACATGTATTTTGCTTGTTGCAAATCCTAGCAGCTCATGCATAAAACAGCAGGAACTGCATTCTAGCATGCTGAGGCCTTTTCATTTTATCCTATTCCTATACAATATAAAGCAATAAAATTTTATATCCTGTCAAAAAACAATCTAAAAAATAGACAGTATCTCATCTTTTTCATCTTCAACGACAGTAAGAGCATAATGCTTTGAATTGCTTTGAATTTATGCATAATGATGGTTTAAGGACCTTTTTGGTTTTACGAACAGAAGATGAACATACTGCTTTTATGTACAGTACAAGGGCGGAAAATCTATTGCTTATTTCGGAAGGTTCAAATCTACAATGTAATAGCCGAAAGTTCTGTCAAGGAAACTGACTCCTTTTTTTCCCCTTTTCCGAAAAAAATAGCTTCTTTTGTAAGCGCTAAGTACGTACTAGTAATTTTGCAACTTCATTTTTCTCATACTTACTTCGAAGCTGCTCTTCCAGCTGTTCCATCTTTTCCCTTTTCGACAACTCCAGGCCGCTTTCGCTGATCGCTGTCGACTCCAACACCTCGTTACCCTGTTCCGCCGTCTCTGGTTTGGCCAGGGACCGCGGGAACACGAAGATGGGGAGAGCGAGCACCAGGATACAACTGCCGCAGAGAAGGAACCCTCCCCACCAACAGCCCACCCATCGAGGGTCGCTGGGGGAGATCTGGAGTAGGTCCATGTTGACTGTCGTGTTGTCCACGTAGATGTTTAGGAAAACGGAGCCCAGGAGAAATCCGAGCGCGGGGGCGAGCGCACCGGTGGCGTATAGCATTCCTGTGGGGAAAAATGTTTAATGTATAATTAAGTGAAACAGTCAAACTTGCGGCGAACTGGTGCAATGGCCAAGTGGGTAGAGTGCTCGCCTTTCATTCGATTTTGGTAGGTTGTGAGTTCGATCCCTGGCCAAGTCATACCAAAGACTTTAAAAGTAGTACATACTGCTCTCTCTCCTTAGCACTCATGCGACACTAGGCACCACATGGTGAGGGAAGGACTTCTGGCCATAACGACTGCTTTTTCTCTGTCCCAATTTTCCCCATTGACGTAAGCATTGAGGGACTTGCGACCACTTGTCCAACACACACGGTCCAATCTCTGCCTAACATGCCATTTTTAGGGTTACTTTATGTAGTAAAGGTCTTAGTACATGTAATCATAATCAGTACATTTGTATACATAGGTTTTAGTATTTGTGGGAAAAAGGTTTGTCTAATAAAGTTTCACTGATAAATTGAGCTATGTGTAGTACATGAAAATAGGAGTATCAACCTTCTACATGCACCTGCTGCCTATCCTCTAAACCAATATTATTATACAAACTAGAGTTCCCCGATCTCATACCTTCGCCAAATGATGTTAATCTTTATGACTGACAAATTATAGATTAGATTATTCCCCCCTGATTGAAGAAATAGGAACCTAATTTTCATGAATTATATCATTTTATCATAATCTCAACCAAAAGACAGTCTTATATTAACAAACAATGCATTCTAGCATTTCCTATGCAAATGAGGTCCTGATTTAAATAAATTATGTTTAATGATGTTCACCTCAATTTAACTTTCAAATACCACAAGTGTGAAATTCCAGGCAGTTATCATTACATAATTATAAAATTTTCTAATTAATTATGCAAATTAAGTCATTATTAACATAATCAATATCTTCCTGTGTTTCTTTCGTTGTCAATTACCAATGTCACAAGCTTCAATTGTCCTATCATGGAATGCAGATGATTTATAGAATTTCCCCATAAATTATGCAAATTACATCCATATTTGCATAATTGTCACATAATTATATTAAGCATCACGTAAGCTACCTACATACCAAAAATCACGACGATCCGTCAACTGGTTCTTGAGTTATCCCCTTTTGAATATTTTCAAGAATATATCCCTGCAGTTCCAGAGCAAGCCGGTAGGGGGCCTAAACTCACGTCACTTCTTCCCCAGCACAAGAGCTACCTACCATCCAAATTTCATCACCCTAGCATGTCTAGATCATGAGATATCAAAACCGGAAGTTCAGCTGCAGTACCATAACAAGCCGCTAGGGGGTCCAAAATCTAATCATTTTGAGGTCTCATCAAGACCTACCCATCTACCAAGTATCAAGACAATCCATCAAGGCCTTCTCAAGTTATCGTGTTGACAGACACACACACACACACATACACGAACGCCCCTGAAAACATAACCTTCTTGTGTAGGGGGTAGGAAGTGGTGACACATCTGGTGTCGATTATGTAACTCCCGGATAAGACCAATAAAGGACAGGGACCCAGTGTCCCTGGGATCAGTCTGGCCCAAGCCGTGGTCTAGTGTGGTCATTTCTAGCAGCATCCAGCATATATAACACTGGTGGCAGCGGACAGCGCTTTCGAGCGCTCAACCCACGCCATACCGACAATGCCGCCCGACTAGCATCCCTGACCTCGGCTAAGCAGCGATCGACCGCCGCCATCGTTACCATGCTGCCCAAACCGCCAGCCCGCTACCCGGCCACACCGACTCGACCCCTGACAGCCGCCATGCCGCCCGACACACCAGACCGCCGCTCCGTATCCGGCCAAACCGACTAAGAATCCGTCGACGCTACCCCTACGTGCCACGACCTCTTTTCTACCCAGCCTTGCTCCCGTGCACCAGGGCCTGCCCGTGAACCTGCCATTTGTCTCAGCCATGCAACCCTGCCCAAGACCGTGGCCATGCCGTCACCTTCCGGCCCCGAGGCCAGCCTGTGCCACGTCGCCGCGTCCCGACCGCTGACCGCCCGCGGAACCCAGCCCGCTGACTCCAGGCAGCCCTCGTGTCGCAGACGACCGACCCCATCATGAGTAGGAACTGACTTTCTAACATAACGTGACCTACTTGATCTTTGCTGCGAACTCTGAGTACTGTGTCTCTACCCACAGAACTTTCTAAGACCTATGAACTCTTGTGGTGTTGACTTGTTGCACAATATGTGATGTTTTCTATGTTTGCCCTTGCTCGATCGTACGCCTACGGGAAGCGACCAAGCCGTCTTGAACCTGTGTACTTTTGTGTTACTTGCAAATGATGCTTGCCTAGTAGAAATGCTTGCCTACGGGACGACCCTGCTAGGAAGATCATGTATTAGCCTTTGTATTTTTGTGTTTCTTGCGAATGATGCTTGTCTAGTAGAACCGCTAGCCTACGGGACGACTCTGCTAGGAAGATCATGTATTTTGCGTTCCCGGCCACACTGTAGCTGTGTGACGGTCCGGAAGTCCCCGTACTGCCCCACGCTTGGGAGTACTCGAGGAAATGCGAACTTTGCCGCTGTGCAAGTTCAAAGGTGCTGTTTTGTATGTGAATTGTTACTGTTATGCCTGTTGTTCGTTCATTATTGTGCTCCAAATGTACTGTATAGCAGCGGTCCGTCTTACCCTTACCATCAAATTCCAAAGACCATGTGCACATCTGCTTTTTGTCAGCCAAGTTAATTAATAGCATCCTGTTACTTTATGGACCCAATTTCAAACCCATTATCATTGTTGTTTTTCCGGTGGCCATTATTATTACAGCGGTAACACTTTTAGTTATAGATTAGCGTTTAGCCACTGTAGCATTTGTTTGATGTAGTTTGCTGTTAGTTGTTTTTGTTTTTCTGCCCCTCAGCATGGTGTCGAGGACGACACCTTTTGTGAAGGGGGGCCAGTGTAGGGGGTAGGAAGTGGTGACACATCTGGTGTCGATTATGTAACTCCCGGATAAGACCAATAAAGGACAGGGACCCAGTGTCCCTGGGATCAGTCTGGCCCAAGCCGTGGTCTAGTGTGGTCATTTCTAGCAGCATCCAGCATATATAACACTTGGCGAAGGTAATTACACCAATTGGCAACCTTAGCTGGCTGAAGGTTAACTTTAAATGATCACCACTGTCTTACCAATGTACAGCGAGGAGTTTTCCCTGGACACGTGATCGTCGATGTAACTCGTGCCCAGCGTGAGGACCGGCGTTGCGCCCATCCCAATCAGGATTTCCGCGAAGATCAGGATGATGTAGAGCGAGTTCTCCATCTTGTCGCGACAAACCTCCCCGTCCTCCGCCGGTTCCGCCGATGTGTGATTATCCGCCCACTTCCCGTTATTGCACAAGTTTCCGTCCGAGTAGTTATGCGTGAGCGTGACGCGGTACTGTGTGGACATGAAGTGCGGCAGCGCGCAGATGAACGAGCCGATCGCTGTCACGATGCTCCCCCACGCAATGATCTTCGGTCGGTGCGACTTCCCGCCAAAGTAGCTGACGAACGACACGGCGATGAGGCTCCCGATCTCGTACCCGCTCACGATCAGGCCGGCTGACGTGCTCTGGAGTTCGAATCTCTTTTCTATCGTGGTCACGACGCTGTTTATGTACCCGGAGACCAGAATTCCCTGAGCGAGGATGAGCAAGCAGAGGAACAGTATAAACGACTTGATTGTCGGTTCGTGCGGTAGACCCAGCCGCCATCTCGACCGTTTCTGCGATGTCGGCGCAAGCGGTAGCGTTGACGCGGCCTCCTCAAATGTCGTGTTATTGCTGAGCGACCCCTGCGCCGGCAGTTGTAGCCCTTGTTCGTCGTAACTCACCAACGATATGTCTACCTTCTCCGGCGACGACATGGCGTTGAGGTTGTTGGATCGATTCATGCTGATGGTTGCTATGACGACCTGTTGCTATGGAGACAGTTGCTATGGTGACGGTTGTTATGGTGACAGTTGCTAAGGCACCAATTTCCTATGGGAAGAGTTTCCTGAGGTTGGTATGTTGGATCTGCATGGTAAAGGCACTAGGACCATCACCTGCAAGTAGAAAAAAATAAAATAAAACGTCAAAACTACATGTAGTTTACGATTTAAAAAAAAGAACAATAGATTTTGTAGCTGATGCAATAAACTGGTGATCGCTTTGCATTTGCAGTGGGAGATTGTGGGTTCAAAGTAAAGGTTTTAAAAATGGAATATACTCGGAGCTTATACTACCACGTTGACAGAGCGTACTGCACCTGCACGAAACCCACAATACAATGTATATCATACTTTGACAGAACGTCTCATATAAGGTCGCATTCACGCATATAAGGTAATAACATCCCATCTGTAGTTTTCAAATGTTGTGTCAAAAAAGATATCCTCTGCAACAGGCAAAATTCTGATGCAACGTTGACCAAACATCCAACGAAAACTGTGAAAAATCAGGGTTTCGTGCAGGCAAGTATTTATGGAAAGTTGTGGCAGTTGAACACATACGACTACTCTCACCTCTCGAATAAAAGTACCCCCTGGAATAGAAGTACCCCCCGGACAAATCTTCAAAATCTAATAAAAGTACCCCCTGGAATAAAAGTACCCCCCGGAAAATTTAAAAATTGACATGTAAGCAACGTCTATGCTCCAAAAATGTGTTCTCATGGTGTATATAATTATATATGTGTGCGTCTGTATGACCTTGTCACTTGCAATTATTGACAGGTCCTGAATAAACATACCCCCTTGAATACGATTCCCCAACAAATCTTCAAAACTTTATGAATATCAGGAATCTCCCCAGAAATTCAGAACAGGGTGGAGGAGGGTGCGAAGCGCGTTGCGGGGGGTGGTCTGGAGCTATTGCATTTTGTCTTTTCCAAACACAAATGGAGGTCATTTCCTGCAACTTCAGTTCTACATTTTCTGTACAATTGCAGATGTATAAGGCAGGAGAAAGGTTCAAGATCTGTACTTAATTATCCTCTTCATGTTCAAAAAAAAGTTCTATTTAGTATTAGCACCCTTAATTTTGAAAAAATTGGGCATAGGTTCCCCGGATGACCCCTAACCGGGGGCCAACGGTGCTTCCACAAGTTCAACAAGTGAAAAATACATGATACAAAATGTACATGTATTAAATACCTCGAACTTGGAGCAAGTTATTCCAAAGATGTTACTGAAATTAATATATTAAAAACTAAACCAAATCCTATTTCTCAAACAAATCACATATTGACACAGCTGAACAAACAAAAATGTGACCATGTCTATAAACTCCACTCAAAAACAATTTTTGAGAGACACTCGGGTCGCGGTGCTAAGCGTGATAATCTCTAATATCTCATCTGATTCTCCCAATATGTAAAGGGTCTTTACAATGACAGCATCCAACCGCACATACATAGAAACAACAATATTACAGAAGAAACCAATAAATTTGGAAAATTTCTCAGTAATGTTTGAAAATTATCCTTATTAAAATATAAGTGAATTTTTTTCAGTTGTAGCTGAAAAAATATTTTTCATGCGTTTAAAGTATCGTTTTAGCACTGTAATATGTACTTAGTACATGGCTTATACATTTGGATGCTATCTTGACCTTTGACCACTGTTAGTGTAAAAGCAGGTCGGCCATGTTGGCCCCTGTTGTCTTTCTCGCCGTTAATTTTCGAGCCGTTTTTTCGTGCAAATTTCAACCATTTTAAACATTTTACGGCCTCAAAAACTCATACAGCGAGGAAAACAAGTTGTAGTTGTTATTTTCATGCGTAACATTTCTTCTGGGGATGGTTTATTTTTCATAGACGAGCTGCCGAAAACTAGCGTCATGCCGCAACCATGGGGTCGGCGCGGCGTCCGGCGGGAGTTTTATTTTGTATCGGTGAGCTTTCACGATGTAAACAAAGATAGTCGGAGTTGTTTACATGAAAATTTTGTTGTGAAACGCCAGCGGGGTGTCAGATTTTCTACCAATGACAACGTTTTCTTTGTGGCGTCATGGCGAGATCGACAATTCATGTGCCGACAATGGAATGAATTTTCCGGGAACTTTTCCGATTTTGAAAAAAGAAATAAACGTACCGTCTAAAATAAGAATGTACCGGGTGGATTTTCAGGCGAAAAAAAATAAACGTCCCGGTACGTTTAATAGAGAGTCGAGAGTACACTACCAGTGGTCTAGCCTTCTAGTAGTTGTACTGTAGGGCTTGTACAGCTGCAAAACTAACAAATGTAGGAAGGATTTGTAACTGTCAAATAACAATGTAGCTTTTGTACCTGCCGAGCAGACACAACGTCATAGAAAGTTAAACATTAGGATCAGCAAGAAGTCAACTTTCCTGTACCAAAACTATTGTGGCATACTAGTAATGGAATGGCCAAGGATATAGAATCCATAGGTCCTGGGTACAAATTCACCCATCAGGGCTCGAAATTCATTTTTGGGAATAGATGCACTGTTGCACCCAACATAAAAAAATTAGGTGCACCATATAAAACAAAAGCTAATTGCAGGTATTATGTCCGCTCCTCTTCTGAGCTTGAATCTAAAATGAGAGCTAAGTTCAAAATCTTATTAATAAACATTACTACTAACAACAAAGATTTTATTATTTTTCTGATACTCAGAGAACAAGAATATCCAGTATACTATAAATTATACACTTCTAGTGTTAAAAATCCCAACAAAAATATTTGGGTGCACCAGTGCATCCACAGAAAAAAATTGGGTGCACAGCTCCAATTTTGGGTGCACTTGCTCCCAGTATTTCAAGCCCTCAGCAGCCTATGGTACATGCCCCAGTATTGTGCAATTTGTTGCCGAATGCAAGTTTGGCAGCCAATTAAGCTTGGCTGTATCTTCAGAATAAATAAAACTAGTACTAAGGCCTAGGAAAAAAATCTTGTGTTTCAATTTTCAGTCGGTAGGGATTATTTTTCTTTAAATTCTTTCTTTTTTTTGCAATTTCTTGTGATCCAACTTATACGAAACACTCAGGTGTTAGATCATAAATGGAGCTATGGAAAAGATTGATCAGCTACAAAAATTCATGTCCCTTGCAGGGGTCCACACACAAAAAAAGGCTAGGGTCAGCAGGTTTTCTTGGGTTGGTCACGATCGAAACAGGAAACTCAATTTTTTTTCTAGGCCTACAAAACCACCTGTTTGAGTAGGCAAACAAAAAAAAGGAAGCTGTTATGCATTTCCTGCCTTTTACCGCCTAATCTCCAAATGGCATGCTAAAAGTAACTGCATTATATTTAACGTGTCCAATACTAGTACTGCCAATAGAGTCAGGAGTCTTTCAACAGGAGTCCACACCTGTTTTTTTCCATGGGTTAAACCAGACGTTAACATTTAGCTAGAGGAGCTACATGTAGGAGACAAAAAAATGTGTCTCAGTGACTATCAATATTCACATGCTGAAAATGTCCCCGTTGTTGCGGCCTAGTCTTTTGAGATCTAAACCAACATCTACTAGCCAGCGTTTCTGTTAGGCCATACCAATTTAATTTCTTGGTTAACGGATTCGCCCGCTTCATTTTTTCCGATTTACAAAAAAAATAAATAAATTCAGAATCAACTGCAAAATGCTCATATTTTGCCCCGAACAGTTGAAAACAGTCCTTTTCTTCCTAGTTGTTACAGATCATGGAGCTAGAAAAGGTTGATTCAGCTCAAAAAATTTGTCAAAAAAATTCAGGCTGACTACAACACCCAAACAACACATTAAGATGTTTTGGGCCATGTATTCTAACCACCTGTTCCTCTTATGAAAGAAACTAGGCAAAGAAACCACCAGACATCAAACAGTTTAAACAATTAAACTCACAGGTTTGATCCCAAGAATTTCCCACAGTTATTTTCTACACTTAAATCCACCAGGTGTTGCTGAGTTGAGTCCTTGTTGACACTAGCTGGGTGTGGTGAAGGTTTCAGTAGTAATTTGTATACATAAAGACTTTACTGTGCGATATTAAAATACCATGCCTACCTTGACGTAAAATAGTCAAACAATACTTGCACTGGCAAATTTGAACATGAATTCTACTTAGTCTAGTAGCAAAAGAATTGCATGGGAAATACAAAAATCTGGTATCATACATTTTGTGTTCAGGCCTAGGAAAAAAAATGTTGTGTTTCCTGTTTCAGTCCTGAAAAAATTAGGGTCGGTAGGCAGGGATAATCTTTTTTTCTTTCTTTTTTTTTAGACTTCGGCGATCTCTATATAGTGATCCAACTATGGGGGAAAATTGAGACTGAGAAAAAGCGGCCGGTTTATATTATAATTATATCATAGAGGTGCTCGCTTGTGCAGATTTGACTGTATATATACATGTATATTTTTGGTCATATTTACATATTATTAGTTTGGGGTCAGCGGCCTTTTGACCTAAATGTGCCCTGACAGATGAAAGCTTTAAATCAAAAATGAATAATTAATCAAATCAAGACAGTACTAACTTTGAAAAGAAGATTTAATACATAAAAGGGCACTGTCAGTATTAACCATACTTAAAAAAAAGACAAGAAGCAAATTCTTGTAAAATTTAAAACCTAAATCTGGTAATGAAGAAGCAAGAATATGCCAGAATTTTTCCTGTAATATTAGAAAAAACAAAAAGTCAAACTTCAATTTCTAGCAAATGTTTTTGTGTGAGAATTTTTCCAAAACACTTTCTTCACTTAAGAGAAAAGCAAGAAAATCGTTAATTCTGTGTGTGAGAATAAGACCTCTTCTTGTTTTTTATTTGTTCATTTTTTTCATGGAAGAAAATACTTCTCCATGTAAGAGACTACACTGGTTTAAGAAAAACAAGAAAAAAATGTTTGGTAGTGTATCATGCACCGGTGCAATAGCTCAATTGGTAAGAGTGTTCACTTTGTAACCGGGAGGTCGTGAGTTCGAACCCCGGCCAGGTCATACCAAAGACTTTAATTTAAAAATGGCACACACTTTCTTTCTCTGCTTAGCACTTAGCACATATGAGAAAGAGTGTGGGAAGGTCAAACACACAGCACTACCAGCGGACTAGCCCCCTGCTGTAGTGCC